AAAAAAAAAAAACAAAAAAAAAAAACCGTGATGAATATCAATGCAAAATTCCTCAACAAAATACTGGCAAACCAAATCCAGCAACACATCAAAAAGCTTATCCCCTGCAATCAAGTAGCCTTCATCCCCAGAATGCCATGTTGGTTCAAAATATGCAAATCAACAAATGTGATTCATCATATAAACAGAACTAAAGACAAAAACCATACGATTATCTCAATAGATGCAGAAAAGACCTTTGATAAAATTCAACATCACTTCATGTTTACAACTCTCAGTAAACTAGGTATTGAAAGAACATATGTATCTCAAAATAATAATCCATATATGACAAGCCCACTGCCAGTATCATACTGATTGGGCAAAAGCTGGAAGCATTCCCCTTAAAAATCAGCACAAGACAAGGATATCCTCTCTCACCAGTCCTATTCAAAACAGTATTGGAAGTTCTGGCCAAGGCAATCAGGCAAGATAAAGAAATAAAGGGTATTTATATAGGAAGTGAGGAAGTAAAACTATCTTTGTTTGAAGATGACATAATTCTATACCTAGAAAACCACATCATCTCACTCCAATAGATTTTTAGGCTTATAAGCAACATCAACAAAGTCTCAGGATACAAAGTCAATGCGTAAAAGTCACTAGCATTTTCTTATACACCAACAACAGGCAAGCTGAGAGCCAAATCACAAATGTATTCCCATTCACAACTGCCATAAAAAGAATCAAATACCTAGGAATACAGCTAACAAGGGAAGTGAAGGACCTCTTCAAGGAGAACTACAAACCACTGCTGAAAGAAATCAGAAATGACACAAACAAATGCAGAATCATTCCATGTTGATGGAAAGAATCAATATTATTAAAATGTCCATCCTGCCCAAAGCAATTTATAGATTCAATGCTATTCCTATTAAGCTACCAATGATATTCTTCACAGAACTAGAAATAGCTATTTAAAAATTCATATAGAACCAAGACAGAGCACAAATGGCAAAGGCAATTCTAAGCAAAAAGAACAAAGCTGGAGGCATCGTACTACCTGATTTCAAACTATGCTACAGGGCTAAAATAATCAAAACAGTATGGTACTGGTACAAGAACAGACACATAGACCAATGGAGCAGAATAGAAGAAACAACCCTGAAATAAGACCACCCACTTACAATCATCTGCTCTTTTACACACCTGACAAAAACTATTAATGGGGAAAGGATTCTCTATTGAATATTTGTTAACTAAAATCATAAAACATATTACCTTTATGATTATTTTGTATCTTTTTTATATTTAAAAAGTGGATGTAAACAATCTACTAATAAAAGACCACGGGATGCTATGAAAATTGTACAGACTTAAAAATTAAATAAACTGGGTCATAATGCCTTCTTTAGCTTCCTACATCTTGACCATGTGGTGTGACTTCTTTCTCTTTCCCTCTCTCTTTTTTTTTATCCTCTCTCTCATGTAAATTTTTTTGAAGAGAAAAATGAGATAAGATTTATGAAATGCCTAGCACACAAAAGGCACCAAATGCTTTTAAAAATTATATGTCCTCACATTTTAATGTGTACAATAAACTGGAGATCTTGTTATGCAGGGTTGTTTTTTATTTTATTATTATTATTATTATTATTTTTTGCAGAAGATCTAGAATAAAGTCTGAGTTGCTGAATTAGAAAAAAAAAATTATATGTGGGGCTACTTTTACCCCAGCATCTTTCATGAACCTAGAATAGGAGATGGAAAGGCAAAGGCAAGGAAGCAAAACATAAGATTTGACACTCATTAACCAGAGAAAAAGCTAGGTGAATCACATGTGAAGCGAAGAGTGAGATTACAGACATAGCAGTAACTATATTGAATGTAAATGTATGAAATGTCCCAAATTAAACGAAAGTATTTGTCATATTGATACGGTAATAAAACTCATCCTGGTTACTTATAAGAAGGTTGGCAAGGATGTGAGTGATGGAAACTCTCCTACCCTGCAAGTAGGAATGTACAATAAAATAATCAATGTTGCAATATGGTTTGCTATTGTTTTAAAACTGAATCTAAATCTGCCCTATGATGCAGCAATTCCCATTTCCCAGTATATACCAACAGAAATGTGACTGTACACTTATTCATAGAGCCAAACACTAGAAAAAACAGAAGAGAATGTTAGAAAGCATTATCGTGCTTACCTTGGAGATGGTTAAATGAGAGGGCTTTCTTTATGATGAATTATTGAGATGTATATTCATGGTGGTGTTTTCCTACATTTCTGTTATTCATCATGAAACAACTTCAGAAATAGAACATAATGATCAAACTGATGGCTTTATCAAATAATGTAGAAATAAAGTAAAAATAGTATTGGTAAATCAGGCTTTATATTTTGAGTCACCTGGTGGGAGTTGAGGTGGTGATCTTTATTTGTTTTATTTAGTTTATTTTGTTTCCATAATGGAGATTTTCTTGCCCTAATCAACATAACACATATGGACAAGAGTCAAACTGGGTTAAAGATGTGGAGAATGGGTCTATGCAGCTATGCTTTGGTTGTGTAAAGCCTTAGCTTTGGAGGAATGAAGTGATCAGCTAGAACTCAGTAGTAGCACACTGTAACCAAACGAGTTAAATAGGCTAGACAGTAATTACCAATGAGTTTACACCTGGTTAGTGGTATTAGGCACCTCGTGTGTGTCTAGCATATTGAAAAGCTACATACAAGGCTGCCCCAGTAAAGGGTGCTTTGCAAGGAGAAATATTTTCAAGTAACGACTTAAAATGAGAACTCATGTATACTTAATTTTTTGGCATGAATAACTAAATTACATACTTTAAAAAGTTAAATCATTTTATTTTATTGAAAAAGCTACTTTTAACTATCTGTTTTAAAAACCTCAACTTTTTCCTACCGAAATATTTTAGCTCCTCTTTTACAGGAATAGTCCTGTCACTTTTATTTTAAATATGTATCTGTTCCCATAGCATTCCACAAAAAGCCTCAGGCTTACAGATGCTCTTAATAAACCTTAAATGGCTATTTCACTACTGAAAACCACTAAAATGTTCACTTTTTAAAACAGAAAGAAAAAGCTGTGAAATCTGTGACCCCTAATAAGGTTCTCACGAATAGTCACTGTAGAGTTAGCACAAATCTTTGAGTTAAAAAGTTACACGTGCGGAGTGGTCCAGTGTTTATGCAGTTAGAACTTCCTGGTCTTCTGCTTCTCATGCCACCCAGTTAAGAAATATGCCGTGGTGGCACGCACCTGTGGTCCCAGATACTCGGGAGGCTGAGGCAGAAGAATCGCTTGAACCCAGGAGGCGGAGGTTGCAGTGAGCCAAGATTGTGCCACTGCACTCCAGCCTGGCGACAGAGCAAGACTCTGTCTCAAAAAAAGAAAGAAAGAAAGAAAGAAAGAAATATGCATTGCTTTTAAAACCCCATAGGTCATGGATTCACTTCTCTGGGTTTAAACTATTAATCTAATAGTTATTTTGGTCTTGGGAAAAACATTTAACTATATATCTTTGGATTACTTCACCTTTAACATAAAAATACTTATCTCAAAATTTGTTGTGAAATTTAAATCAGATAATTCATGAAAAGTGCTTTAACACAGAGTCTGGCATTTGTTTTCATGACTTATCTTTCTCTATGCATTGCTATTTTGTGGGAGGTTCAATTCCAAAATTGATATTTTATTCTGCACTTGTAGATTGACAAAATCTCTGAATATTTTTCCTGAATTGACCAGATAGTTCAACTCATCAATTAAGATATATATCGATTGTTCAGCTGATAAGCAAATCAATATTTCCCCGAACTGCACATTCTGATAAGATGAGCACTGTGTTACAAAGTTTGCCTTCATTTTTTCATTAATAATAAATTATTACTATAAATGACAAGGAATGTAGGAATAAAAATAGGATCAATTATATTCAAAAGGATCTTGCAATCTTGAGGGAGAATCAAAATGCTGAATGAATTAATAGGGGTTGTATGATGATTGAAACTGATTCAAAAACTATAAATAGTATCTGATGAGTCTCCCATTTTATGATTGGAGAAAGATAATCTAAAACTAAAAGACATTATTCACAAAAGCCCTCTCAATCCTTCCGTAAAATCCACAAGCCTTCTGCTTCTGATTGCCAGAACTCTATCCTCCTGACTTGTTTTTTTAGCGTTTGCAGCTACCTCAACTCTGCATCCTGCTCTGGAGCTACGGTGTAGACAGCATTTGCTACTTTTGCTTATTCAGCATCTATTTCTCTTACTTTCTTCCAATGACTTCCATTATAATGAAAAAGTGAAAATGTAGTCAGGAAAGGAAGCCAACTAAAGTGACTCAGTTTCCAAAGTGTAATTGGAACTTCTATATTAATTATTTTTATATTAATAGAATATTTTATTGTGGTAAAGTAGGCATAACATTATACTATTGAAATCATTTAAGTGCACAGTTCTGTGACATGAATATGTTTGCATTGTTGTATAATCATTACCACTTCATAATTTTTTTTGTCTTCCCCTGTGAAAACTCTGTATTCATTAAACACTAGCTTCCCATTCCTTCCGCTTCTCTCAAGCATTCTACATTCTGCATTCTGTCTCTATGAATTTGATTAGTCTAGGTACCTGATATAACTGAAGTATTATAGTAAGTGTCCCTTTGTGACTGGCTTATTTTACTTAGCAAGTTTCATCCATTTCGTAGCATCTGTCATAATTTACTTACTTTTAAAGGTTAAATATCGTATATACATCACATTTTGTTCCACTGAATATACATTACATTTTGTTTTTTCATTCATCTCTCAGTGGATACTTGGGTTGCTTCTACATTCCAGTTACTATGAATAATGCTGCTGTGAATCTTGGTCTG